AAGAGCTTGAATTAAAAGATCAGAAGAACTAAATCGTTATCGCAAAGAAAGGGTGTTCATGAGATATAGACTTTTTCTTAAACAGCAGGTACTGTGATCCCAGAATGGTTCTTATTGAAAAAAAAGATACTTCAGCTTCTTTCAAATGCAAAAGTCGATATTTGCACATCTAGGCCTTCTCTGTTAAAGCCTCCTTGGCAAAGGCCTGTGCATAACCCATGTACGTGCTTTTCTCAGTGATTTGAATAGGCAAGACTTTACCTGGTCCTCATATACAGAAACATCATATTCAAAATTTTATTGAATATGCTATTTAGTTGTGCGATGAATGTAGTGTTCATGTTTCGAGTAGGTAGGACGCATTTGAAATTCTGATAAGGGTACATTTGAATGGTCGCCCTCCTTTCATTCAAAAAAAAGGAGAACGAATATGAGCCAACCTCGAATGTAAAAAATCATCAAAAATCCAAAAATCCAAAAATCCAAAAATCCAAAAATCCAAAAACCCAAACATCCAAAAACCCAAAAACCCAAAAATCAAAAATCCAAAAATCCAAAAATCCAAAAATCCAAAGTTTCCTGGGAGATTGTCCGGAGAACTTTGGATTTTTGGATTTTTGGCTTTTTGGATTTTTGGATTTTTGGATTTCTATGCATAAGACAAGCATAGAAAAACAGCACAGTATATGAAAATAATGCAAAAAAACCAAAACAAAGTGCAAAAGTGCGAAAAGCCAAAAAAGTGTAAAAAGCCAAAAAAGTGCAAAAGTGCAAAAAAGCAAAACAAGTGCAAAAGTGCAAAAGTGCGAAAAACACCAGAAAAGTGCAACAATACACGAAATGCACAAAAAGCACAAGAAATAAGGCAAAACACGCAAGACAACACAAAGCACGACAATAACAACTAGTTTTTCCTGTCCTTTTCATTTCGCGGTTGGTCCATTGGGGGGGGGGGGGGGGGTGAGCATATATATATATATATACATATATAAAAATGTACATATTTAGAGTTTATATGGGCCTAAGCCCGGAGCCATAAACTGTAAGCCCTGTAGCCATAGATTTCAGTCAGGTCCAGGGAGTTAGGATCTGGTTATCGCCCACGGCAGTCAGTATGTATCGTGCCAGCCGAGCACAAACCAGCAGCATGGCTCCGTGCCCCCCGGACCTCGACCCGAAGCCCAAAATCCTAAAAGCCCGAGACAAGTCCCAGTAACCCCAAAGCCACAAGAGCCAACAAAGAATTCAAGTGATCTCACCAACACCCCAGCTACTAACTACCACCCCAACCCAGCTACCCCCCCCCCCCCCCAAAAAAAAAAAAAAACAAAAAACAAGAGTCCTACAAACTCCTGAGGTCGTACCATCGGCTCCAGTAGCCCGCCGCGTGCGAGAAGGCTGCGGAAGGGCGGCAGCCGTCTCTGGGGAGCCGAGCAGCGGGCCGTGCACGGATCTTCTGAAGGATGTTGCACTGGGTTAGGTTTCAGGGGTTATGGGAGTTTAAGGTATATGATATGGACATGTATATATACACTCAATCATACACAGTTAAAGTATGAGACCATGCCTTAAAACTTACTTTTGGGTTTAGGGCCCATGGCTTCGGTCCAGGTTTCAGCGGTTAGGTTTAGGGAGCATTTTTCACCTTGAGAGTGATCGGCTTTCTGTGCTCCACAGCTGGAGCAGTCCGAGTTATCCAACTGACCGCGCGGGGGACAAAACGGCTTTGCGTGAGTCTGGCAAGAAGGTGTCCAGTGCAGCTGACTGAAGCTGGGGGTTAGAAACCCTAAACCCTAAACCCTAAACCCTAAACCCTAAACCCTAAACCCTACACCCTAAACCCTAAACCCTAAACCCTAAACCCTAAACCCCTGGAAGCCCCAAAACTGCAAGGATCTCTTCAAGATGTCAAAGTTCAAGCGCGTGAGGGCCAAGGTGCGCGTGTGGCAAGTCTTGCATCTGTCTCCGATACCCTAAACCCTAAACCCTAAACCCTAAACCCTACACCCTAAACCCTAAACCCTAAAAACCCCAAAGGGCCCTTGCTTGGAACTGGGAGGTTCATGGTACTTATTTATGAAGCAATAAAATCTCTACTAACCTGTACTTTTAACCATATTAGGGCACTTAAGGGGCTTATAAGTGGGTGATAAGTGCAGTGACAAGTACCATGAACCTCCAAGTAAGCCCTTTAGACCAGTAGGGGTTTATGGCTTTCGGGTTGTGGTTTGCAAGATGTTCTTCCACAAGATCCGGAAACGGAGGTCCCACGAGCAATTCTTGGGCATCCTGTTTACTGTCAAACATTTGGGGTCATAAGGCGTTTTTCGGGTTTAGGGTTTAGGGTTTAGGGTTTAGGGTGTATCATAAGGCTTCGTTCGGGATGCACGCGCTCATCGCAGGGAAGGATGAAGAGGAAACATGGCGAAGTTGCTCTCAATTCAGACCTCAACCCTAAACCACAAGCCCCTACACCCCACCCCCTAAACCTTGAAAAAGACCCAGAGTGGGCCCGTGTTCCCTCTCAGAAGCCTCTTTAAGCCACAAGGGTGCCCTTTCTTGGGTCTAGAAACCCAGAGCCACGGTTTCTTGGGTCTAGAAACCCAGAGCCGCTGTCTTGCCGAAAAGGTGGCCTCCTTTCGCCCGAAGAACGGCGAGGCCCCTGACTACTTGGCCCGGAGACCCGCGCGCCGGGGGGATTGGCTTGGGATGGCTTTTGCGAGCTTTTGTGGGGGGCTTTTTGTAGGAGGCTTTTGTAAGGGGGCTTTGGGGGCTTTTTTGGGGGCTTTTGGGGGCTGTTGGGGGGCTGTGGGGGAGGGTTTTAGGTTTGTGGGGTTTCTGGGGAACCGGGGCTGCTGGACCCAAGCCCTCTTTACCTACAGTTTTGTGTGTGGGTTAGAAGTTATACCTACTAATTACGGGCATTTACTGCTAACTAAACTGTAGGTAAATAGAGTCCCAGGGAAACTCTGAATCCTGAGGATCTGGATGCGCAGTTGGGCGACATGCCCGAGAGTAGGCGCGCTCCCCTAGACTGGGCAGGCCTTTGAGATATGTTCTACTTGCCCTTATAGGGTTGGAGAGGTTCATATGAAGGAATATATTCTCCAGAGGGCTTAACAGGCCAACCTAGTAGAGGCCACGAAAGGTCCTCTGCGCTGCGTGATCTTCCCCGACGTGTCAGGGTGGGGCTGGACAAAACTCTACTTGGAGGCTCATGGTTCTGATTAACCAGTTACAACTGTACTTATAACTGTACTTATAGCCATATTAGGGCAGTTAAGGGGCTACTAAGTACAGTTATAGTTGGTTACTTATAACCATATTAGGGCACTTAAGGGGCCCACAAGTGGGTTATACGTACAGCTACTACTGGTTAATAAGTACCATGAACCTCCAAGCGTATCCCAGAGGTCGTCTTAGACCTTTCATGAAACTACTAAACCCTAGAACCCCTTCTGCCCTCAACACGCCCCAACCCTGAACCCTGAACCCTAAACCCCAAACCCTAAACCCTAGAATCCCTTCACGCTCCGCCCCTTCGAGTCGCGGCCAGGATCGAGGGGCAGCCCAGCCAACTTCCTCGGGATGAAGACCTGGGGCAAGGCTCGGGGAGGGTTTAGGGCTTATAGGGCTTAGGGTCTAGGGGCTTAGGGTTTAGGGAGTTTAGGGCTTAGGGCTTAGGGCTTAGGGTTTAGGGTTTAGGGTTTAGGGTTTTGGGTTTAGGGTTTAGGGTTTAGGGTTTAGGGACAGTTTAGGGCGGCGCCCTTATGAGGTTTTGAGTCTACTTTAAGGGCAACTTGCGAGTTCTTGAGCTTCAAATTTGCGTAGCTCATCTGTCTCAGAGTACCAGGGTACCACGACGCCCCTCCTGGGGACTCCGAAAACTCAGTGGGGATTCGAAACATTCCCCAAACGATCCAGATCGCGTTTTGCCGGGCACGGAGAGGCCGCCGCAGGATCGCAGGATTCCTAGGAAAAAACCCGCGCCTTCGGGCGTCGCCCAGCGTGAGAACTTGCGCTGCAGCCTAAGTCCCGTGCGCATTCCGTGGACCAAAATCTCGCTCCCACATCGGTCCCGTGCACGCTTGAGTGTTTGTTTTGGTAGCCCAGTGGTGCCCTTTAACCTCATTTTTGGTTATGGGCCCTTGTAGAGTAACCAACCCCCAAAAAGGGTGCCCTTATTTTAATGGTCATTGGGCTATCGTCGCTTTTCGTCGCTTGGAGTGTTTTTTTGTCTTGGCCTTCTCATGGAGCTCTCTTGAAGCGGTCCTGCAGCGTTTGGGATATACTTTGGGATGTTCCCCCTTATACTAGCAGTCCTTAATCGGGATGATAATAGGGGGTACCAGAATTTCAATTACGGACTGTTAGTACAAGGGGGAAAACCCCAAGGCATACTTATGGGGTCGAGTGATTTTCTCTTATGGTCATTATATATAGTTATACTCGAATAACCCCCTCAAAAAGCCTATTCTAGTTTCTAAGGCCCCAGGCTTACGCTGGCAGAAGTGGATTTGGGGCTGTAGGGTGTGCAGCCGTGCCTGGCAGGAAGTATGGACGCGGTACTGCCCGGCGCCTATGAAGAGTGACCTCTTCGGGCCTTTGTAGAATGCTGGAGGCAAGTGACCTGCAGACTCAACCTGCGACCTGGGGCAGAAACAGTGCCATGAGGTTGTAAAGTAATGTGCCGCGTCATTTAGTTCAGAATTGGGCCACTGTGCTGACGGAGTTGCCATCTCGCCAGTTCGTGTATTTATAAAGAAATGTATCCGAGTCCACGGGTGCACAAGAGGCCAGTGGCCGAATTGTCAGCTGTCTCACCGCGTGCGGCTCTTAAGCGTCAACACGACGCTCCTTTTTCATCCTGCCATTCTCGTTTGCGAGCTCGACAAATGCTGGATGCATGTTCTGTCGTTCCGAAGTGAAGCCAGAGACGAGGTTTCAAGCCCAAACCGCCTTTGAAAGCCGAGGTGACGTTTTCTTCCTGAGCTATTGCCATGAATAACTGCCTGCACGGCACTTCCACGCAGCTAAGCCACATGCTCTCATTGAAGCGACTGCGACTGCTGGCTGCCCTCGCCCGCACCGAAAGTCAAGCGGAGTTCGATGAACGTGGGCGAGCTTGCCGCGTGCCCCGGGGGGCGGGAGGGGCGAGGAGCAGCGCAGCCGCGCGTCAGGCCCATCCTTGGGGTGCCCTACACCCTAAACCCTAAACCCTAAACCCTAAACCCTAAAACTCTAAACCCTAAACCCTAAACCCTAAACCCTAAACCCTAAACCCTAAACCCTAAACCCTAAACCCTAAACCCTAAACCCTAAACCCTAAACCCTAAACCCAGAGCCACAGTACTATGGGAAGCCCTGCAGGTAGCCGAGAGCGTCCTCCGCCAACCTGGCCGCGAGCATGCAGGCAGATCTCCTGTGGGTCGGGGGGTCACTATATCCGTATCCCCCTTGAGTTTTGTATTTTTGTTTATATAAAGCCCAAGAGGATATTAAAACTACTTTTTTTTTTTAAAGGTGCTAGGGGGAGTATAGGTCATGGGCGCTTGTGATGAGCAGGGGTCAGCTATCCAACTGTTGCGTAGCCCGAGGGCTTCAAACCAGGTTGTCCCAGCTCTCTCTGAAGTCGCCACTCGATCACAGATTTCCTGCCTTGACTTACATTAGCCCTCAAAGTAGGATCGCGAAAGCAGCATGGCTAGGGCAAACAGGGTGCGTAGGTCAGGCTGAGATTGGACTCTGCTGGAGCCAGTCATGTTCGGTATCATGCAGCATGTAACAGTGAAGTCCACGCAGGCGCAGGTTTAGGGTTTAGGGTTTAGGGTTTGGGGTTTAAAGTTTAGGGTTTAGGGTTAGGGTTTAGTTAGAGTTGAGGGCATAATCAGAGCCGTAGCCCTAAACCCTAAACCCTAAACCCTAAACCCTAGACCCTAGACCCTAGACCCTAAACCCTAAACCCTCGTATTCATGGGAGCCTTTCCGGATCCAAGCGGAAGCCACCTCACAGCATTTCGGCTCAGGCTGCAAATTGCTTCCTGAAAGAGTCATACGGGCACTGGCAACTTCAAATCAGCGCTGATTGTAGGAAATGGGGCTCAAGCAACAGATGGATCTGGCAGGTTATCGACTCAAAGAATGTTTGTAGGGGCTGTCAACCCTGACAATAGCACCGCACATGCAAAGCTGCTGTGATGTCTTTAGGCCGCCGGTTTCTGCGCAATGCACAAGGTCTACGAATGTTGTGTTGCTGCGCGGGTTTTGAGGTTTAGGGTTTAGCTTTAAAGCGGCTGAGCACTTGCTCACTGGCTTCTCAACACTACATTGAAACACCTCTGTTGGCGCTTTCAAGGCGAAGGGGACTTTCATGGCCTGCTTAATCCTTTCTGCCAAGACTCCTATACATACACCTTTCAATAAGCCCGAGGCTCCCCCCCAGTGGACCCCACCTCCTATAAAGTCGAACCCCACAGAAGTAAGAGGCATCTGATTGATTCGCAGGCACCCCGCAGAACCTTGTGGGCTGTCGTTTGGGGTAGTGGCTCTCTTCACAGTGTGCGAGAGCACCGGGGAATATTGCAAAACAGGAGTGCGGGCACTTGAATCTTAGTGGGGGAGCCTTGCCTTGTACACCTAAACCAGAAGCTGCCCAAACCCTAAATCCCAAAGCCGCCCAAACCCTTACTCAAAAGCCGCTTAAGCTCTGCCCCCCCCAAACTGCCTAAACCCAAACCTTAAATCCTAAACCCGAAACCCTAAACCCCTGAAGTCAGGGTTCCTTTACCTAAACCCTAAACCCTAAGCCTTAAGGATTGGACCCCTGGGCGCAGGGGACGCAGAGAGACCCTGGATCACTCAGCAAAATTCAACCTCGGAACGGAAGATGAGGCTCGAAGTTTAGGGGGTTGTTCAAGGTAAGTTTAGGGGTTTAGGGTTTATACGGTTGAGGGTTTGGGGCTTAGGGTTTAGGGCTTATGGTTTCTAGGGTTTCTAGCGCCCTATCAGCCTACGCTCCCAAAGAAGCTTTAGCAGCCAGGACTCAACCACACCCCACATGATCCAGCAACCCTAAGCCTGCATGGGCTTCCCGGGGTTTAGGGTTTAACCTTAGACTTAGACCCTAAAGCCTAAGCCCTAAACCCTAAACCCTAAACCCTAAACCCTATCAGACCCTAAAGGTCCTAAGCCCCGAAAGATGAGATCTGGCACCCTTGGGTCGCTAGTTTTATTCCCAGCTTTGTCGGCCCTGGGCTTCGGGCCCAGGGTGCATGCGGTTTGTGATAGGGTTTTTAGGGTCTAGGGTTTAGGGTTTGGGGTTTGGGGTTTGGGGTTTGGGGTTTAGGGTTTAGGGTTCCGGGTCATGGCTACAGTCGGAAACAGGCGGCTGGCTCGCTCTGGAAGGAGGCGGATGCGGTGGTGCGGGCAGCAACTGGGCAGCAAGCGCTGCCACATTGGGTCCACGACACCCCCCAGCCCCCAACCACCCCCCAAGCCCGATAAACAGTGCGGCGCTAGCACGAGGCGACGGACGAGCTCGTGGATATCTCCTGGAGCCTGCGGAAGGTGGAGCGGGTCCAGGGTTGAGGGCTTCCTGGATTTGGGTTGTAGAGTTCCCGGAAGCATATTCACATAAAAAGAATATATTTCACATATCGGATATGTGGTCAAAGGCCTCTAATGTTGTCTGCTGGTTAGTGTGCCCCCCCCTCCCACCCTCAGCAAATGGACTCCGCTCTTTAGCGTTGGGGGGGGGGGGGGGAAATTTGGGGGGGGGGGGGGGGGGGGGCGGGGGGTCTGGCTTTATATGATTTCAAGGGATGACTTTATATGAATTTGTAAGGGATCCATATGATTTCAAAAGGGATGAGCTCGTATGAATTTAAAAGGGATCCATATGATTTTAAAAGGGGTGAGACTGTATGCACTTAAAAGGGATCCATATGAGTTTAAACGGGATTATATGATGTTAAAAGGGATCCACATGATTTTAAAAGGGATCCATCTATCCCAACCAAGCCAGCCCGCAAAAAGAAAACATTATTCCGGGGGACCAAACGTTTTATATTATACGGCATTCGTGCAGCTGTTGGACTACCCCCTTTGAAATTTGATTGCCTGTCCTCCGTACAAAAGCTTTTTATAAGGAACGCTTAGCTTTGGGGTTGGCCTGGAGACTGAAGATTTCAGGGCCCGACAACCTCAGGCCTCAAGGTTTCAGGCTTTAAAACTTTTGATCTTTTGGTCTCTCAGGCTCAGTTCAGAAGCGATTTCTAGACAACAACGCCATTCAACAGCAAATTTTGCATCGCCCGAATTTTTTCACAATTCCGGGGGACCTCCTCAAATAGACCCCCCTGAATAGTTTTTGGATTTCACAATTCCGGGGGGGGGGCACACTATTCAGGATACAACATTACCTCCAGAACACCTCCCGAGGCGCTCGGGGCCAAGCCGGCCATGGCCAGCCAGCTCCTGGCGCGCGTGGTGAGGCTTCCTGTGGGGTCCCGGAAGGTTTAGGGTTTAGGGTTTAGGGTTTAGGGTTTAGGGTTTAGGGTTTAGGGTTTAGGGTTTAGGGTTCCTAAGGCTCCCTAAGCTTCCCTAGTTTCAAGGCTGTCGGTGCTTTGGCCCTGTCCTGTGCCAGGCGCATGGGAGACGACGTCGCTCGGCGGAACGTGGCAGCAGCTGGCATGCTGCGAGATTATTTGATCCAGCAATCCGTAGAACATTCTGCAGCGCAATCTGCTGGATGTCAATGTTGGACCACTGCAACTTGAAGGAACAAACTGGGGGCTAAACCCTAAACCCTAAACCCTAAAGCCTAAACCCTAAACCCTAAATGATTCTGGAAGAAACGGTTCTGGTGATAAAGCCGAAGGTCCTGACCTTGAAGCCAGGATGTTGGGATGCTCCCCCTTGTACAAACAGTCCTTAATAGGGATTCTCATAGGGATTACTACAACCACCCTAAACCCTAAACCCTAAACCCTAAACCCTAAACCCTAAACCCCAAACCCCAAACCCTAAACCCTAAACCCCAGGATGGCATGAACATCACCCTCCGCCGGGTCCTTGAAGATGACGACCAGACCGCCTCGATTACCACGTCCCTGGAAGAGGGCCCGGAGCCTTAGAGAGAAGGGCGCCGGCGCGCCCCCAAGCCCTGATGTAGGGTTTAGGGTTTAGGGTTTAGGGTTTAGGGTTTAGGGTTAGGGTTTAGGGTTTAGGGTTTAGGGTTTAGGGTTCAGGGTTCAGGGTTTAGGGTTTAGGGTTTGGGGTTTCGGGTTTCGAAAGCCCCACCACGAATCCCATCGGCCCCTACATCCTGTAGACCCGAGGCTGAAGCTGATTAGGGTTTAGGGTTTAGGGTTTAGGGTTTAGGGTTCAGGGTTCAGGGTTCAGGGTTTAGGGTTTAATTTTGTTCGTTCTCTATGGGCCCAAATTCCTTGTAGGCCATACACGCCATAGAAGTTTCATGGTTGTAATAGGGGCCCTCAAACCCACTCCAGTTGAAGCCCTGCCAAGTTGCAGTGTTTTTGTTTCCTTCGCTTGCAGCAGAGTTACTGAAATCTGGTGATGTTGCCAGCTATGCCTTGGGATGTTCCCCCTTTTTCTAACAGTCCTTAATAGGGATTACCCCGATTAGAATCCCTATTCAGGACTGTTCGTGTAAGGAACATCCCAGGCTATATCTAGTAAGTAGCCCCTTCAACCCTAAAGCCTAAAGCCTAAACCCTAAACCCTAAAACCCTAACCCTATAACCCTAAACCCCAAACCCTCAACCCTAAACCCTAAACCCTAAACCCTAAGCCCTAAACCCTAAGCCCTAAAATAAACCCTAAACTCTCCGCCCGTCCACAGGTCCTCACATGACCAGCTCCTACGAGCCGGCGCGGCTACTCCTCACCGAGACCCTGCAGCAGCTGCAACTGCAGGCCAGGGAGTGCCAGGGTTTACGGTTTAGGGTTTGGGGTTGAGGGTTTGGGGTTTGGGGTTTGGGGTTTAGGGTAGCTAGTGCTTTCGGGTTCTAGTTCAGGGTCTAGGATTTCGGGTGTACGGTAGGGTGTAGGTGTTGCAGATGTTTGCGCGCCAAAGTTTCCTAATTAATTCCGAACAGCTGCAGGTGTAGAGGGTCGAGAAGTTCCATTTGTTCCCTCGCCTGGAGCTACTTCCAAGAAGGGCTTCGGCTCGCGGGTTTGGGCTTGGTGTCATGTCTGAGCCCTAAGCCCCAGGAGTCCCTAAGCCTTCAGAACCCTACATCCGGAAGACTTGAATTTCCCAAAACCCCCCCAGAAGCCGCTGAATATCCCCAAGCACCCTAGAACCCGAAACCCTTCATCATGAGGCGCAGCTATCTTATGTTGAGGGCGGGGGTTTAGGGGCCACGGCTCAGGGCTTCGGCTTGAGGGTTTTAGGGCTTATTCTCGGGTTTCATGAGCTCCAACTTACGAACTAGGAGTAGTTACGACTAACCTGTAGGTAGATAGAGTCCCAGGAAGGGGGGTTGCAGACTTAACGATTGGTTTAGGGTTTAGGGTTTAGGGTTTAGGGTTTAGGGTTTAGGGTTTAGGGTTTAGGGTTTAGGGTTTAGGGTTTAGGGTTTAGGGGTAGCTACGACTAAGCTGTAGGCAGATAGGTCTAGTTCCCAGGAAGGGGGGTTGCAGACTGAGAGATGGTCCCGGGCCGTCGGATCAAGCCTGAAAGGTCAAGGATGACCGCGGACGCGACGCCGCCAAGGAGTTGGACCTGACAGAGGCCGGGGTTAGGGTTTAGGGTTTAGGGTTTAGGGTTTAGGGTTTAGGGTTTAGGGTTTAGAGTTCAGGGTTCAGGGTTCAGGGTTCGGGGTTTAGGGGTTTGGGGTATGTGCCGGAAGGATTCCGGATTTGCTGGTGGCTGTCACCTGTGTAGAGACGATAGCCGCCGTAGTCACGCTGTTGTGAGGTTGGTGTATGCAATATGTCATTTTCTTACCTGTACCCAAAGTAATAGCCGTACGGTAGATTTTCAGGGTCCCCTTTTAGTCAGAAATCCTCTTTTCAGGGACATCTTTCCTACTGGTCCATTTCTCTCTTTCAAGGACGAAGAGCCCCCACCTGGCCGGAACCGTCAAAGCCTAAAAGCCTAGCGGCCCCAAAGCCCCAAACCCGAAAAAGCCTGAAGCCCCAAAGCATTCACCACCAAGCCTTACAGCCTCGCAACACCTCAAAGGTCCTGAATGGGGGCTTTCGGGTTTGGGGTAAGTCATGGATCCTTCTTGGGCCATGCTTATCGCATGCTCCCTGTAGCTTAGGGCACCCGCAGCGGTCTGCAACACCGAATGTACTGTCATTTCAAGTTCGACAAGCCCCTAAGGCCTAAAACCTAACTCTAACTACCCCCACCCCCTCCCTCCCAATGAAACCTTCTACTCCTTGTGTTGCTTCGCTGGGGAGGACGTCCGCGCTTTCCTGGCGGGCTCCCTCTACCCACAAGGCGGAAGTGAAGGGGTTTATGGCTTTCGCCAAATTTTCATAGGGGTACCCTTTTTGGGGGGTCATTTAAGGGGATTCTCTTCTATTTTGGGGTATGAAAGGGGTACCCCCTATTTGGGGAAGTACCCAAATTGTGCAGCTCAGAGGGGGGCGGGCACATGGAAGTGAGATCGCGGAGGGATGTGTTCTTGCAGGGAAGCAGCGCGATTGAGGTTACACCCTCCCTGGCGTTCGAGCTGCCTGTGCCCTCACGACACCGGAGTCTCCCAAGAAAAGCCTGACTGAACCCTAAACCCTCAACCCTCAACCCTAAAGCCTAAACCCTAAACCCTACAAAGGCGACGATGAGCCAGACATGGATACGCTGATGACGGTGGCAACCATGCCGAATCAGAAAAAGCCCTAAGTCCTGGAAACCCTAAACCCTGAACCCTACTGAGCCCCCTTATTACACATCATGCGGACTTGGTCATCCTCCAAAAGACGCAGTTGCACTTGGAGGCATAAGCGTAGTTCTCTCAATTCGGGTCGCCCTTTTTGTCATCCATTTGTTAATTGAGGAAACTACCCCCAAAAAAAAGCATCCTTAGGCCCTCCAAATCGACCTGCGGGTTGAGGGGGCCTCATATATTCAAGGCGGACGAACTCCAGCTCCGCATCTCCCAACACCCCGAACCCCCCCGGGTTCTCAAGCACGTAGTAGAAACTCTGCAGCCCCCACCTTCCCAGAGCCTCTCGCAGCCGAGGTGACCAGCTACGAGGAGGCCCTGGTGGTGGGCTTCGAGAACCCGAGGATGCGCGACGAGGCGTGAAGCTTTTCAAAGTAGCCTTCAGAGGTTGCCAACCCCCCGCCCCCCCCCCCCCCCACCCCCCAAAAGAAAAAGGAACCCTAAAAGAACCGATCTCCGGCTTGGGACATGGGGCTTCGAGAGAAGTTCGAAACACCCAAGGCCTAAGAACACCCGGACGCAAGATGCCTTCAAAAAGTTCCCTGGAGAAGCATCAATGCCGAGGAAGGTGCTGTCATTCTGGCATTCTAGCATCCTGGCACCCTCAGGGACCACAAGGAGGGAACCCTACCAGAAGCACCCCAACCTCCACAACCCTACAGACACCCCCAAACAAGCCTAAACCGCCGGCGGGCAGGTGCTTTTCGGGCTGCTGGTCCTTCTGGAGGCGGCCCTGCGGCGCGCTGCCCACGGCCCGGACTCCGCAGCCCGAAGCCCTTTCAAAACCTGCTCTCTAGGGGCCTTGATGATGAGAATATGGACCTTAATGATTCTAATAGGGTTTGGGGAGCCATTATGGTATAGTTATATAGGGGCCACTTTAATGGTTAGAATAGGGTTTTTGGGGTCTATGGTAGTATACTCATATTTAGGGGCCGGAGGGGAGTACCATCAGTACTTAGTCCGACGCCTACATTACCTGTTTGGCGCAGGTTGCTCAAGAATCCGATAAGGGTTTTCGGGGGATAAGGGCTTAGGGTTTAGGGCGTAGATAGGTTTTGGGGGCTTTTGGGGTTTCGATGGGATGCAGAGCTTCAAGGTTTTAGGGCTTTTGGGGTTTGGATGGGCTTCGGGGCTTATCGTGTCGAGATGGGCATCAGGTTCCAGCGTTACTCGCCCGTAAGCCTTGCGCGCTTGGGATGGAGAGTGTTAGGGTCTAGGGACCTGGGGCCAAACGGGTCCTACACCCAAAGCCACACAGGAGGCCGAACACCCTATAATAGTGGTCCTAGTAGGCCAAGTAAAACCCCAAAGCGCACCCCAGAACCCTAAAGCCCTCAAAGTAAGTCCAGTGGGCGTTGAGGTCATCATTGAAGAGCTTCCGCAGTGAGGGGGGCACCCTTAGCTTGGCGACGGGCTTCCGTGCCTCGTCAGCTTATTTGTTTCTTCTGAAAGGTGGTGCACCGGTGAGCTGCACTGTTGTGCGTGTGCTACGCCTATGGTGCAGCACCAGCAGCTGGACTTGGACTGGGGACACATCGGAAAGCATCAAGCGCCTGGCGCAACCTGGCCCAGTGTTCGTGCGTACGGTGACGGAACGAAGATGGCTGCCGTCGTCTTCGGCGGCAACATGTGGAAAAAGCGCCGATGGTGGCGCGAGTAGAGGACATCGGTGGGAATCGCCAAAGTCTGGACCAGGGCTTGGGACTGACAGCCCTGTTCGTAGTGCTTGCGATGCTGCGCTGTCCCGAGTTGGTTCTGCCACAATCCTAAATCATGGCGCCCAAAGCTGAAAAGACAAGCTCCTTAAACCACACAGCGGAAGCTAAGGCCTGAATACCTGTAGCGACTTAGCGTAGGGTGGGGGTTGAGGGTTGGGGTTTGGGGTGTAGAGAGGAAAGAAACAAAGGGAGAGATAAAGGAGGAGAGAAAGAGAGTGAGAGAGCGAAAAAGAGAGAGAGAGAGAGAGAGAGCGAGAGAAAGAGGGAGAGAGGGCGAGAGAGAGAAAGAGGGAGAGAGGGCGAGAGAGAGAGAGAGAGAGCCGAGAGAGAGAGAGAGAGAGACGAGACAGAGAGACGAGAGAGAGAGAGAGAGAGAGAGACGAGAGAGAGAGAGAGAGAGAGAGAAAAACCTTGCTTGCAACAAACTCACAACAAACTTCTACTTCCATGGCCTTAGCCCTAAAAGCCCTAAAATCTACCCTGCCTGCGGCACCTCGGAACAACAAGTTCGGGAGCTGCCTGGGCAGTACGATCCGGTACATAGGTGGTCTTCGCTGTGGAGATCAGTTGCAGAGAGAGTCGAATTTGGATTCCTGCTGCCTCATAAGCCCACGGTGCCAAAAGAGGCGTCCAGACCTGAGCTTAAACCATACCACTAGCTTCGCCCCCTTGCACCCCCAATACCTGGTACAGAATGAGCCCACCATGTTGTTGTGGCTCTAGGAAACTCAGGTCCATACCCTAAAACCCCTAAACCCTAAACCCTAAACCCTAAACCCTAAACCCTAAACCCTTCTTATGAACCCCAAACCCGAAGCCCTCAACCCATCTTCCTGGATCAGCTGCAGGTCCCTGGTCTTCGAGATGCTCTCCTTAAGTGTTGGGGTTGCATGCTGGAACCTTCCCTAAACCCTATGCCCTGAGCCCGAAGGCGGAAGTGAGCCTTAATTATACGAAGGGTTTAGGGTTTAGGGTTTAGGGATACGAAGGGGCTTCATTGTTGGACATGCCGCGGCGATGTTGGGTTGAGGATCTACTCCTACGTTGATGGTGAAGATCAAGCTTGCTTGCGCACTTGCCAATGTGGCATGCCTTGCGCCTCCTGGGGGGGGGCGGGGGGGGGAGGGGCAGGGTAAGACCCCCTAAACGCTAAACCCTAAACCCCTGGACTCGTTGATTGGAGGTGACTCTCACCCCACCGGTCAACGTCGATGAGGTTGATGCCGAGATCGTCGTCGTGGCAGGCTGTGTGTTGGTGAATGCCGAAGCTATCCCATGTCGTGCCAGAAGCATCATCTCGCATACCGCAGACCCCTAACAGAGAGCTTCTAAACCCAAAACCCTAAACCCTAAACCCTAAACCCTAGACCCTAGACCCCTAACCCCTAACCCCTAACCCCTAAACCCTAAACCCTAAACCCTAAACCCTAAACCCTAAACCCCAAACCCTAAACCCTAAACCCTAAACCCTAAACCCTAAACCCTACCCGCAGGATGCGCGTTGGGATTCGTGGCGCCTGGCCAGCCACCCCACGTGCTCCATGTGGACCCGGACACGGAAACGGCGCGCGCGGGGGATTTCAACCCACAGTGCTTCCAGGGTTCCAAAAGGACCCTAAACCTTACTTCGCCAATAAATGAACTTTAAACCTTTGGGTTTTCCTTATTGTGTATGAATGATCAAGTTCAGTCTGTTTATTCCTTGGCTATCGGAGAAGTAAGATAATTCAGTCTCCCTAGACTTCACAGGTAGAATCTGAGAGTATCTTGCGTGCTTGCGAAAGATACTTGTATACCGTACTCCCAAAGCCAGGTAGAAGATTTCTGGACCATGGGCTTGAACAGGGATGTCTCCTTGAGTCCTTAGGGTTTAGGGTTTAGGGTTTAGGGTTCACCGTCATGGAGCGACAACCCCCCGCAAAACCCAAGAACCCGAGCCCCTGAATTTTGATGAACCCGGCAAACCCTGATATCCGGACTCCGCACCCTGGGCTCCCCTTAAACCCTAAACCCTAAACCCTAAACCCTAAGCCCTAAGCCCTAAGCCCTAAACGCCCTCTGCAATCCCCAAGCTGCACCAGAAAGCCCCACACCCCGTAGCGCGTGCCCCACTGCTTTGAAAGGCCAAGCATGGCATTCAGAGCGATGACCTGCTGCTGAGCATCGACGGTGCTCCCTTCTTGCCTTTTGTTTGGGGGTTTAGGGTTTAGGGTTATAGGGTTTAGGGTTCAGGGTTCAGGGTTCAGGGTTGAACGGTTTAGGGTTTAGGGCTTAGGGTTTAGGGGTTAAGGTTGCAAAAGGAATGTTTGCAGCTGTAGGGCTGTAGGGCTAGGGTTTTGGGCTTGACATCTGAAGGAGCAGATTCTTTCACGCACATGGAGGGCATGAATCTTAATCAACGGGGATTAGGATTTCGGGGATTTGCGCAATTGGGGTTTTCAGGGCTTGAGGGCCCCAACCGCTGGACCCTAGTCCTGTTGGTTCTGACATGAGCTATATATACTAGGCTATCAGACCCACGCCTTCGCGTGGCCCTAAACCCTGAACCCTGAGCCCTGAACCCTAAACCCTGCACACTAACCTGAAATCCTAAACCTTCAGCCCTCAGGCCTCCAAACTCTGAACTCTGCATGAACTGGGCGCCGTTGCCCCCGAGCCGTTTGTCCCCCTCCCCCTCGTGGTTGCGGGGTGTGCGGTTTGAGCTTTGGTGGCCTAGGTCAGGTTCAGGGAAATGGTTCAACTAGGGTTCCAGGTTTGAGATTTAGGGGTGTAGGGGTTTAGGGGTTTAGGGGTTCAAAGGTTAGGGGCTTAGGGGCCAGAAGTTTAGGGGTGTCGGGGTTTAGGGGCTTTTAGATTTAGGGGTTTGGGGGTGTTTTTGGGGGGTTTAGGGGGGGGGGGGTTTAGGGCTTAGGGCGTAAGTGCTGACGGGCGGATGCTTGAAGTTCTCAACTCATGCCTTTCGCCCGAAGCCCAACCCTGAACCTCCCCTCCCCTAAAGCCCGAAGCCCTAAACCCATCTCCCCTCACCCTCGCCCTCCCCCCCCCTCCCCCCCAAAAAAAGGCATAATCTATATATATATATATATTGTATATCTGTATATATATATATATAAATAAATTATAACGAGCCAAAGCCAAACAACTCTGAAGCCAACATCCGAAGACCCTCCGCAAGGCCAGGACATCGCTCAGTTGAATCAGGACAAAGTGGCGGCCCTCCTTAGGGCGCGCCCGTGCTCGTGGTTTTTTGGGGGTTCAGAGTTTAGAGGGTTTGGGGTTTAGGGTTTAGGGTCCAGAGTTTGAGGGTTTAGGGTTTGGGGTTTAGGGTTTAGGGTTTAGGGGTCTCCAGATTCTCAAGGGTTGTTTCCATGGTTGTTGGTAGCAGTTCAGGGGCTTCACGTTCATAGAAAGTGACGAGCTCGAAATGCCCAAATCCTGTCACTCGTGGGCCCCGTGTGCGGTTTTGGCTGTGGCAGTCTACAGTGTAAGGCACTGCATCCTGCGTTAGATTTCTCCGCAACGCACCAAACGTGCCTAAACCCTAAACCCTAAACCCTAAGCCCTAAGCCCTAAACCCCCTCTCCCAAACCCCCCGTCAACCCTGCAGACGGCGAAGACCCTCGTCTTCGAGCGGCCAGCCGGCGCTGGAGAGGCTGGAGACGAGGAGCTGGGGTTTAGGGTTTTGGGTTTAGGGTTTTGGGTTTAGGGTTTAGGGTCTTGGGTTTTGGGTTTAGGGTTTAGGGTTTAGGGTTCAGGGTTGCGCCCCGGGGTGATCGGTTCAGATGAGGGTTTGGGGTTTAGGGCTTAGGGCTTAGGGTTTAGGGTTTCGGGTTTAGGGTTTAGGGTATAGGCATAGGGGTTTAGGGTTTAGGGCTCGCATTTGGGGATTGCGTGATTGCTCAATTAAAGTATTGCTCCACATGGCCTGGCGTGACATGCCAAAATGGGGAAGGGCATGTAAGGGGACGCTCACAGCGGCTACCACACTGGAACCCTAAGCCTTCACCCCACTGAAGGAGAATTCTGCGGCTTACGACTCGCCCCAAAACAAAACAGCGCCAAAAAACCCAACAATGACCGGCCCTTGCGAAGGAGGCTGGGCAAGCGCGCCCGGCTGAGGACAGGGAGGGCAGGGGGAGGGGGTGTAGTCCATCTGAGGCTCATAACGGGCCTTGGCCCTGTGTGTAGGGGGTTGACACCCCTTGATGGTTCTCATGGGCTGCATGGCTTCGCCAATTTCTGGGTACAGGCTTTGGGAGTCTTAGGTTTCGGGCTAACCCTGTAAACCAGCAACCTTTCAGGGTTTGGGATCTGAGGGCTCTAGGCGGGCCACGTCTCTGTGGGGAATGCGATCTTCATTACCCGACCCCCACCCTCGAACTCCTAAATTCTTCATTCGAAACCCTAAGCCCTACCGTCAGACCCTAACCGTAGCCCAGTCCAACCATCCTTCCATCTCCATACACACATTCCCTCCCCCCCACCCCCCTAAACCCTAAACCCTAAACCCTAAACCCTAAACCCTAAACCCTAAACCCTAAACCCTAAACCCTAAACCCTAAACCCTAAACCCTAAACCCTATAAACCCTATAAACCCTATAAACCCTATAAACCCTATAAACCCTATAAACCCTATAAACCCTATAACCCTATAAACCCTATAAACCCTATAAACCCTATAAACCCTATAAACCCTATAAACCCTATAAACCCTATAAACCCTATAAACCCTATAAACCCTAAACCCTAAACCCTAAACCCTAAACCCTAACCCTAAACCCTACACATTTCGGAGGAGCCGAGGGCGGTCGAAGCCAGGGCTCCCGCTCAGGCCGAGGGCTTTTGACTTCTTGTGGGGGGTATTGTCGGTAGGGTTTAGGGTTTAGGGTTTAGGGTTTAGGGTTTAGGGTTTAGGGTTTAGGGTTTAGGGTTTAGGGATGTGTCTGGGTCACTTTGATGCTTAACGCTGTCATGGGATCCATTGACAGCCTCGCTTTCTGGAAGTGCAATGCTGCAAGCCCGTAGAACCAATGTACTTTGTTACTTTTGCTTGCCCTCGCCTTTTCAACCATTCAGCGTTCTGTGGTCATGATTCCCGAAACCCTAAACCCAAACCCTAAACCCTAAACCCTAAACCCTAAACCTTAAACCCTAAAACCCTAAACCCTAAACCCTAAACCCCAAACCCCAAACCCGAAACCCTAAACCCTAAACCCTAAACTAAAACCCCAAACCCAAAACCCTAAACCCCAAACCTTCTAAAGACGCCCTCCTTGGGACCTCTTTTGGGCAGGCTCAGAGGAGCCGCTCCAGAAGGCCCAGCTGTCTTGAGAGGTTCTGAGAAGCTTCGTAGGGTTTTAGGGTTTTAGGGTTTTGGGGTTTTAGGGTTTTAGGGTTTTAGGGTTTTAGGGTTTTAGGGTTTTAGGGTTTTAGGGTTTTAGGGTTTTAGGGTTTTAGGGTTTTAGGGTTTTAGGGTCTTAGGGTCTTAGGGTCTTAGGGTTTTAGGGTTTTAGGGTTTTAGGGTTTTAGGGTTTTAGGGTTTTAGGGTTTTAGGGTTTTAGGGTTTGGGGTCTTAGGCTTCATAATAGGGTTTCTAATGGGGCTTATAGAGTTTCGTAGGGTTTTAGGGTTTTGGCTCAAGTTCGTAGGGTTGTAGGGTTTGAGGTTTTAGGGGCTTAGGGCTTAGGGTTGTTTAGGTTGCAAATAGGGCTTGTAAGGGTCTTGCGGGTTTGCAGGTCTTTATAGGGTTTAGCAGGGTTTCCGGGTTTAGATCTAAGGGTAGTTTCATGGGTCCCTTAGGTTCTGAAGTATGGGCCCCTGGGTTGTATAAGGTTTAAAAGGGGTATATAAGGGGTCGCCCTGTTAAGGGCCCATAGAACTACCCTGAGATACCGCTAGACTTTATCCTGCTGCAGGGGCAGAAGACACCGCGAGTCCAATCATGCAGAAGAGAGGCAGGTGAAGACGCGTCTCGGGCTGTTCTTGACCAGACCCCCAAGCCCTAAACCCTGAAACCTAGGTTACCTGGGAATGCTATCAAGGGAGTTTTTCACATTGCTCCGCAGCTACGGTTGAAAAGTAGGTGCGGGGTTCTGATAAGGTTTGAAAGCCGCTGGAGAGTTGCCCGAAAGCACCCGGCCCGATGTTGCTTGAAGGAAGCCGCTGTACACAACCCCAACAAGACTTGAGGGCGATCCTGATGCTTGGTCTCATGAGATTGTCAGTTCTCTAATATATTGTCCCTTTTTGGGGTGCCCGAAATAAGAGGGGCCGCCTCATAATAAGGACCCCCTAAAAGGACCATCTTTTCGAGAAGTGACGACATGAACTCGAGTTCGGAATGCTGAAATGTGAAACACACGTCCTTCCCGCACACAGCTGACGCCCTGAAGCCCTGAAGCCCTGACCCCTCCACCTCTTAAACCCTGACGCCCTCAAGTATTATGCCCTTAGCAACCCAAAACCCTACACCCTAAACCCTAAACCCTAAACCCTAAACCCTAAGATCCCAATACCCACAACACCAAGCAGGCCAACCCCTGGTCCGCCACCCGACACGGCACCGCCCGGGTACCCCCCGGTGCAGCCGCCGGGGTGCCTGGTTTGAGGGTACGGGGGTGGGTTTTTAGTCATGGATTTCTTTTTATTCATACTTTGTTGTGACCTTTGACCTTGGGCAGGTCCAGAGGCACCTAAAGGTGGGTAATCTTCATTTGGTTGTGCCATTTGTGCATAATTTCCACCTTGATGTTGAGGGTTTTGATACCTCTGATTTGGTCCATATTGTCCATAATCACCTTGTGCAGGATAATTTGAATATCCTCCGTTTCCATTGTTACTACCATAATATCCTTGGGGTGGTTGATACCCATATGGCATATTATTTATAGGGTTTAGGGTTTAGGGTTTAGGGTTTAAAGTTTAGGGGGTAGAGGGTTTAGGGTTTAGGGTTAAGGGGATGTGTAGGGTGTTAGGGCTTGAGGAGTTGGGAGGGCTTGGAGCTTGCAGGTGAAAGTCGTGGGTTTGAAGTTGGAATACATTGCTAAAGAAACCCAAAACAAATTGCAGCAAGTGGCGGGAGTCCGGGGAGCAGTCCGGGCTTGGAGCTTGGGCATAATTTTTGAATGTCCTTGTTTTCGGGGGGGTTGGGGGGCGCGGGGTCCAATTCTGGGTTTAGGCTTTAGGGCTTGGGGTTGAGGGTTTAAGTCTGCTGTAGGTGCGTAGTTTTCAGGGCATCTGCTGGCAGGGCGTCGACGAGCACGTGCGTTAAACTGAACAGAGTAGATTCCGCAAACGGCTTGCGTCATGTGCCTTGGCTAGCAGGTTTTTCTTTGCAAGGCACAGCAAGGCGTCTGACCGTTGCCTGCAAGCCACATGACCTCGTGTTCACAAGTTCGAGCTATTGGCTTCAGGAACTGATCCTGATGCCATAACCCCTGGGCCCAAAATCTGCAACCACCTTGCCCATTATGCCCATGATCAGATCGTCGAGAAGCCAGCGGGGCACAGCGCTTTAGGAGGGTCCCCGAGATGGGCTGGGAGTCTTCTGAAAACTCGCAGGAACTGATCTTCTCGTCCCCCCTAGACCTGAACCTGAGCCCAAGTCCGCCTCTCAAACCCTAAAGCCTAAACCCAAAACCCCTAACCCCTAACCCCTAAGCCCTAAACCCTAAGCCCTAAACCCTAAACCCAAGCCGCAACCCCTGCAATCCTCGAGCGATGATCCCAGCTCGCCATGTGCGGTCTGGCATTTTGGCTGCAATTCCACACACCCACGCAGTGGCGAGACTGCGCAGAGGTCTTTCCAGAGGCAGGGTGTGGTTTTAGGGTTTAGGGTTTAGGGCGTAGGGTGTAGGACTCGGTGGTTTCGGGGTTGAGGTGCTGTTGGCTGATTCTTGTTGGGAGGGAAGTTTGGCTGTGCTCTTTAAGATTGCAGGACGAGGGCCTTGACAGCCCGTGGGCCCTAGACCCCTAAACCCAAAACTAACCTTGCGTGTTGCGATGAGCTCCATCTCCATCCCTCACCCCCCACTCTCCCTCTCACGCTCCTCCCCTCCAAATCAAATAAACCCTAAACCCTAAACCCTAAACCCTAAACCCTAAACCCTAAACCCTAAACCCTAAACCCTAAACCCTAAACCCTAAACCCTAAACCCTCCACCCCAAAACGCCCCCCAGTCTCCCAAAGAGTCACCCGAAGCGGCAGGCTCTGGTGGAGGCGGAGGCCTTCGCTGCCGCTGCGGCGGCGCTGCCGCGGCGGGGCCCCGACTCTGAAGGCCCTCGGTCGCAAGCGAATTCCTTTTAGAAGGGGGTTTAGGGCTTAGGGTTTAGGGTTTAGGGTTTAGGGTTTAGGGTTTGGGGCTTAATTAGGGCTTAGGGCTTAGGGTTTAGGTATTTATTGAGAGGGTTTTCTATTCTATTTAGGGTTTACTTATTGATAGGGTTTTCTATTTAGGATAACGGGGCCTGGAAGAATTGTCAGGGTGGTCCGAGGTCTGAGTGGGTCAATAAAGTTTTGCCGGGATTTTCAGGGTGTATGGTCTTTTTCCCAGGCTGTGCATGGCAGGTCGCACGCGCGCTTCTCGTGCCAAGGGGTGCTTATTCTGCACGTGTTGCACTCCCCTTGTGTTGGTTTGTCCTTGTGCCTCCCCCGGAAGTAGGGAAGGTGTAGAGTGTAACTGTGTATCCCACAGAGTATCCTTGGAGCACCAAGTATAGGGCGCAGATGAATATGGGGCTTAGGGGGCGCAAGGGGTTTGGGGCTCGTAACGTAGGGTTTAGGGTTTAGGGTTTTCAAGACCATTCCGAGTTTCCCATAGCCCCTCTCAGAAACCCTGAAACTCCCCAAAGCTTCGAGAACCCCAGTTGAACCTCAGGCGAGAGCCTGGTGGAGCTGTCAGGGGGCGAGCTGCATCTGCGAGCCTGCGCACATTGGCAAAGTTTAGGGTGTCGGGCTTAGGGCTTAGGGCTTAGGGCTTAGGGTTTAGGGTTTAGGGTTTAGGGTTTAGGGCTAGGGCTGTAAGAGGATTGTTGCTGGCTTCAGCCTCCTTCATGGGCACCAATGTGACTTCCTGCAGTGATTACACGACCCTAACAACTCAACCGTATCCGCTTATAATCCTTTTTTTGGGAAGATAAGCTACAAGAAATCCCATTTTCTAGTTCAGGAGGCCCCTGTAGTACTTGTGGCGCATAGCTCCATTTCAAGTCCTTTTCAGACTGAAACCTTACAGTATGATACCGAGACAACCCCCCGAAGCCCTGAAAGCCCCAAACCCAAACCTTACACCCTAACACCGTAATCCAAGAACCTTGAACCTTACAGCCCTATAGCTTACAGCCCTATAGCTTACAGCCCTGAACCCCAAAACGCCTACCTACAACCCCAACCCTGAAGGAGAACTCCTCAAGAGAAAGTGCACCTTAGCCCCGCAAGCCCTAGATCCCAAGTACGCCTTAATACTCTAAGCCCGAAGCCTGAAGCACACCTTAATGCCCCAATCCCAAACTACACCTCAAACCCTAAACCCTAAACCTAAACCCTCAACCCTATATAAACCGTGAGCCCTAGGCCCTAAGCCTTAAGCCCGAAGCCCTAAACCCTAAACCCTAAGACCTAAACCCTGCCCTGAAGCGCAGAGAGGTGCTTCACCTACGCGGTGATTGCGTGGTGTCCCAACCCTGCCCAGTGGAGTCCAAGCAGGCGCCAGGGGTTGAGGGTTCAGGATCTAGGGTTTCGGGTTTAGGCTTCAAGGTTTAGGGCAGTTTACGGTTCAAGGTTTAAGTTTAAGGGTTTAAGGGTTTAAGGGTTTAAGGGTTTAAGGGTTTAAGGGTTTAGGGTTCAGGGTGTAGGGTTCAGAAGGGTTCAGGGTGTAAGTTTAGGGTTCAGGGTTCAGGGGCTTAAGGCTTGAGGGTCATTAGAGGGTTATACAGGTCTTGTGGTCGTTTGAGGGTTGCAGGTTCCAGGAGTTTTGGGACTGCATCTTTTGGGCTCCAAGTTGTGGGCGGGCCCTGGATAGTCATAGCTACGGTGCTCTTGAAGGCTGCTTGGGTCAGAGATTGCAGGAAAAGAGCCAGGTTCCGCCTTTCACAAGCCGAGTTCTAACAGGTGCAAGGCTCGCAAGCTTCCCTCTACGTCTGCAAAAGCCTTAAATCGGTCTTAAGACCTAAGCCCTAAACCTCAGGGGTGCCCTGATCGGAGGTTACAATCAAAAACGACCCCCCAGTGCAAAAGAGCTCCAACCTCCTAACAGACACCTTCAGCAACTCCTACAGCCTCAAAGGGGCCCTGAGTCCCGTGAAGGCCAACCTTGAAGGCCCTAAACCCTAAACCCTAAACCCTAAACCCTAAACCCCAAACCCCAAACCCCAAACCCTAAACCCTAAACCCCATTCAACCCCAACATCTTCCTGCACCCCAAAGGAGGAGGCCGGGCTGCTGCTCTTCAACGGCGAGGCCTACGAAGTCCTTCCGGGAGCTTCAGGCCCCTCGGAGTTTCCCTTCCGGGCTCAGGGCTGCCTGCTTGTGGAGGTTCAGGGTTTAGTGTTTAGGGTTTAGTGTGTAGGGTTTAGGGTTTAGGGTTAGGGTTTAGGGTTTAGGGTTTAGGGCCAGGGTGTAGAGGTTGACCTCAAACCTAAACCGCTTCTTGAAGGTTCTGGGTACTTATCACCCAGTTATCACTGTACTTGTAAGTCCCGTCAGAGATTGTCAAAGAGTACTTGGAGGTTCATGTACTTCTAAGTCCCCGAAGGCCTCTAAATCGGGTATAAGTAGACTTAGACTTCGGGTGATAAGGGGGGTTTGGCCCTGAGCTCGACAGGGGTGTCGGGTTTCGGCCTTCTTGATCGACTTGTTGTTTACTGCTTCTGCCCCTTGGGGCCAAGTCGGAGACCTCCGCCGCATGGGGTGCTTGGGTGACTGAGCATGGGGTCGGACATGAGGAACAGGTACGAGACCACCTGCCAAACCCCAAGCCCTAAACCCTAAACCCCAAACCCTACCCCCTAAACCCTAAACCCTGAACCTTAAACCGTAAACCCTGAACCCTGAACCCTGAACCCACGGACATGTCATATGCCTTCTGTTAGACCTCGCTGCAGGCCAAAGCCATTGCCAGGACGGGCTCGAGAGATCGTCACCGATTGGCGGATCAATTTGGATTAGTTTCCCTTTCGGGGGTCTTTTGAAGGCAGTTGCGATGATCAAAGTTGCCTATAAGAGGATCTGCATCCAGAACAGCCCCTCCCCAAACAAAAAAGTCGCAAGACGACATTTTTCCCGGCCAGCGGGTTCAATCAGCCGAACACGCAGACCGCTCAGTACCAAAGTGTTAATTTGGAGCCTGGCAGAGCGCCGACCCACAGAGCATCGGCAGAGCATCGAAGCTCTAATGCCCGACTTGCCCCTGAACCCCCCTTCAGGGCCTCAGGGTGGGCAGGGCTTTCAGAAGTGCAGTTAGGCCCCGCTGTCACACCCCGGCCTGTGGCTGACTCTTAGAAGCTTTGGGCCTGCTCCGTAAGCGATTTTGGGGGGTTCGTCGACTTCTTTGAGCTCAGAAGGCGAACGGCACGGGCCAGTAATAATATTATTTTCGTGTGTCCATAGACTCCTTACAAAATAATATTATGAAAGGCCCTACAAAACCCCCCATTTTAATCTTAATATTATTAACTTTAGGACCAATCATTCCGGCCTAATTCGTTCACCAGGATTCATTAAGAGAATGCACGTGTTACCGCCCGGTTAGTTCTTAAGTTCATGCATTTGGTTATTTCTCGCGCTTTTCATTCACTCGCGAGTAAATTTAATACAGTGAGAAGTGAACCCGCGATTCAATAGTAAAGTTAAGAAGCAAAAAGCATGAGAAGTAAGACATGAAAAGAGACTAGAAAAGTGGTATATTTTGCTACAATTTTATAAAATTAATGCGGCAGGTAGAGCGAGGTCCAAATCATAATACCGCCGAAGAACATAATAATACTGGTGCTTTAGGGATAGGTTAGTAAAGGTGGGTCTTTAGGTTCATTTCGTTCATGCGCGTAATTCATGCGTTCATTCGTCTCAGTCACTCCTTATAATGTACGCGCTTTCACTACCCCTCCGGAGATGCCCAGAAGCCCGGAGATGCCCAGATTCTAGTTCACTTCTTATGGGGTGCCCAGGGTACACCCTGAACATGCGAAGCAGATTTAGGGTTTGGGGTAGAGGGCTCCTGAAACATGACCCTACTAGACCTAGATCCTGGAAGCTAGGCCGAACCACGCCGGCCAGGAGCTGGAGGGGGAGGAGTTCGGCGCGGCCATCAACTTGTACAGGCTGAGGCTGGAAGCTGAACCCGAAGCCTTAAGGCTTGCAAAGCACTGCCAAGCACCATAAGCCCTTTAAAAACCCCGGAAGCCCTGTAAGCCCTACAAGCTCTGTAATCCCATAAGCCCTGAACGAAGAGGGTCTTATAAACCCTGAAACCTAAACCCTAAACCCCCAACCCTCTTGGTGCAGGGCCGGCGGCCGTGCTTGGAGACAGGCGGCTGGGCAAGGCCGGGTTTAGGGTTTAGGGTTTAGGGTTTATAGGGTTTAGGATTTCTAGGGTTTACTTGGTCATAGTGAGGGAACATTTTTTTACGTGTTTAAGGGTACTTAAACTCAATAAGGAATAGAAATGTATGTTTTTAATACTATCCCAGCTGTGAACTAGTTTAGGGTTTAGGATTTAGGGTTTAGGGTTTAGGGCAGGATGTCGGGTTAGGCCAGGGCACGTCAGGCCTCTCAGGCTTGCAACAGCCTTGAGCCCCAAACCCCTCCCCTAAAGCCCCCTCAACCCTAGCAAAATCCGCCCTAAACCCTGAACCCCGGAACCTTTGTCTCCGCAATCCGCAAGGGCTGCAGCTGGCGGGGAGCGACACGCTCTGGCTGGCGGCCCGTATGGCTGCCCTGGAGGACGCCACCCCTGGGAGGCCTTGGCGGTATGGCAATGGGGTTTAGGGTTTACAGCTCAGGGTTCAGGGTTGAGGGTTGAGGGTTGAGGGTTTAGGGGAGGGGGGTTGGGGTTTATTTAGGAGTTAAGAGTTTGTCATGGGGTTTTGGGTGTTTTTTGGGGGTTTCGGGTTGATGTGGCTCCGGGTACCAGGAGTTTGCGCGTTTGCGTCTGCGGCATCTCGGGATTGCCTTTCTGAGAGCTGAGGAATGTTTAGGGTGAAAGGCTGTGCGCAACGGAACCTGTTCATTTGCTTCAAAAGCTCCGGGCGCAAGTCACCGAGGCCAAAGACCTTCTCCCCAAACCAGGGCACCCGCAAATACCCCCGCCACTTGGGGTCTTTGATTCTTGGGGGGTACCTACTCGGAAGGTTTGGGGGTCTCTTGTGAACTTCGCCCCGCACCCACACCCGCGAAACCATAACACGCCAACGAGCTCGTGGCTAAGAATCCCCAGGCCGGCCAAGGCTTCAGATTAAACCCTAAACCCTAAACCCTAAACCCTAAACCCTAAAGCACTTTGGGGTTTAGGGTTTACAGCGGATGACACATGGGGATGGCAACTCCAAGAACTACCGGCCCCGGCCCTGAAGGGATTGGGAGCCGCTGGCAGCGGCACCTCGTCCCTGACCTTTCTGGGGTTGTAGGGCCTGAGGGCCTGTGGGCCTGTGGGCCTGTAGGCCTGTAGGCCTGTAGGTTGTAGGGTTGTAGGGTTATAGGGTTGTAGGGTTGTAGGGTTGTAGGGCTGTAGGGCTGTAGGGTTGTAGGGTTGTAGGGTTGTAGGGTTCAGTGTTTAACGTTTAAGGTTTCAAGGCTTTTTGTGAAAGAGCTTTCTTTGTGTTTCACCGTGGGGCTGTAGCTTCAAGATCCCTGGTTTTTTGTGTGTGAGCAGGGCCTTACACTTAAACAGGCTGATTCTCTTTGAGGGCCGTAGGGCGCTTGAGGGTGGTGCCTCGTTTGGAACAACCCCCCCAAAAAAGGCGACGCAGTACTCGGCGAGGCCCTGAGAACGCAGGTTCGCAAGCCCTGCGGCAGGGGAGCAAGAGGCACAAGACCCTGTCGGACCTGTGACCTCCAATTCAGGAGCAGAGAGGTGTTGGTCAAGCAAGCTTCGCGCCTCGTGAACCTGGATCACCAGGATCCCTAGACCCTGAACACTGAATTTAAGATCCCCAGTCACGTGCGAAAGCGAAAGGCGGGCAGAGAAACGCTGAAGAGTAGGCAGGTCCGGTTTAAGCACTCGCTAACCCTACACCCTAGACCCTAGCCCTAAACCCTAAACCCTTAACCCGAAACCCCTAAGCCCTAGCCCTAAACCCTAAACCCCCTAAAACCTCCCCCAAGCCCGAGAGCGAGGCCCTCCGCGGCCTGCTCCAGGGCCTCCATGGGCCCTTCGCCCTGGCGCTCTGGTGCCCACGGCGCCGGGCGCCGCTCGCCCGAGCGTGCGTTGGGTTCTAGGGGTTTAGGGTTGAGGGTTTAGGGTCTAGGGTCTAGGGTCTAGGGTTTAGGGTTTAGGGTTTAGGGCAAGGGTTTAGGGTTTAGGGTTTAGGGTTTAGGGTTTAGGGTTTAGGGTTTAGGGTTTAGGGTTTAGGGTTTAGGGTTTAGGGTTTAGGGTTTAGGGTTTAGGGTTTAGGGTTTAGGGTTTAGGGTTTAGGGTTTAGGGTTAGGTTTAGGGTTTAGGGTTTAGGGTTTAGGGTTTAGGGTTTAGGGTTTAGGGTTTAGGGTTTAGGGTTTAGGGTTTAGGGTTTAGGGTTTAGGGTTTAGGGTTCAGGGTTTAGGGTTAGGGGTTATTTAAGGGTTTACGGTTTGGCTGTGCGTGAGTTGGTTTCAGCTGTCAATTCCTCGTTCCTTACCTCGCCCAAACAATGCCAGCATGGTTCACAGAAAGAATGAAACCCTGAACCCTACACCCGAATACGATGAGAACTTCCTGCGTCAAGCCTCCAACCCGACAGCCTTGTCAATGAAGGTCGGCTCGCACGATTACAATGTCTGCCAAGTTAGTTGCTACTATTTGCTTCAACCCCCCCCCACAAAAAAAAAAAAAAAACAAACAAACCTTATTTCTTCCTTATAAAGGTAATGTAGGATGTATTATCTTTAACAAACCATATTCTTCCTTATAAGGGTAATTTCGGATTCTAATCCTTCATTTTGTCGGGGTTCTTAAGCAAATAGTAGACTAGGGGCTTGTGCGGCGTCAGGACTCCCTTTGGGCGGCCCCTTTTACAAGAGGTCCGATAACCTGAGCCCGAAGTCCTGCAATACACTGTAAACAGTAAACACCTAAGGGGGTCCTACCCGCCCGTAAGCCCTGAACTCTAAACCGTAAACCCTAAACCCTAAACCCTGAACCCTAAACCTTACACCCTAAACCCTAAGTTTTCTTTGCCGCTTGGAGGGTCTTCGTGGCGCGGGACCGCCTCGGCCGGCGGTCGCTTGTGGCAGCACGAAGCGCGTGCGGAGGCCCCCGAGAAATTTCCCCGACAAGTGTCCGGGGAGTTCTTTGAACTCAGGATTCGGGTCTCGGGGCCTTGGGGGTTTCTTAGCACCCTAAACCCCGAAACCCCGAAACGCTTAAGCCACTAAACCCCTAAACCCCCAAACCCCTAAACCCCAAAACCCTCCAGGACAACCCTAAAGCTCCTGATCTCGTCTGCAATCATCCGACTGTGAGGCTGCATCGCCAGTGCACCCGGGGGTGCCGCTGACAAGTGGAAGGAGCCACCTGGTTGCATCGGGGTTAGCGTTTTAGGGTACATGGGGTGAAGGCTTTTTCAGGGGGCGTGGGTTTTAAGGTTTAGGGCTTCAATTTTTTTCCATTTTTTCCAGGACGTTTGTTGATGTGCCCCCCCCGCCACTCAAACCACAACAAAAAACTAAAGCCGTACAGCCTGGTCCCCAAAGTAGCCCTATGGACCCTACACCCTACAGTCAACCCTAACCCCTAAACCCCAAACCCCAAACCCCAAACCCTAAACCCTAAACCCTAAACCCTAAACCCTAAACCCTAGCCCCTAAAACCCCAAACCCTGCCATTCAAATCCAGGTCCCAGCTCGCCCCAGGAGCCCCCCAAGTTTAGTCAGTGAACCTTCTGACAAGGAAGCCGAAATTCATGTAAGATCCTACGGAGATATCCATTATTGCAGGCCCCTTAGAAGTCATTTTGGGGTTCCTCTCCTTTTGTTCCTGGTGGTTAGGCTCCTGCAAGGCTCCCGGTCACGGGCATCTTCGTGTTCCACTTGTCCGAGGAGCTTGCCTAAACCCTAAACCCTAAACCCGAAACCCGAAACCCGAAACCCTAAACCCTAAACCCTAAGGGCTTGTAGCCCTCCAGCCAACAGTGCGCAGCAACCTCCGACACCCCCAACCCAGGCAAAGGC